GGGGGGGACTACAAGGGCCAGAAACAACACAACAGATATGCAACAAGACAAACCCACTCCTCCATCCATTCTGCAGCTTTTTTATGTTGGTCTCTTTAGATTCAGGCTTCAGCATGAGCGTGACCAAATGTTTTATAGAAAATACCTTGAAAAAACATGCAGACAAAAAAAGGAGGTAAAATACATAAGGGCACAAAGTGTAAACAAGAAACAGAACATTTAGGATTACAGCAACTTTATACATATATTTGCATGCATAACATTTACCCACCTTGACAATGACAAATGGAAATCCCATGGCTCAAAATGGGAGGTGGTGTTTCTTGTTAGGTCGTAATAAAAGGGTTTTGATGAATCAACCTTGAGTAGTGTCAAAGTCGTTCTTTTCCTCAATGACAGGAACACATTCTCCTGCAAAGAGAGATCACATTCATTACTCGAAAGCTTTTGTCAGACTACGGCAGAAAAATCCTCAAAGTACCTGAACCTTCTAAATCTATGGCCTCTGTGTAGCTTCAAAAGAAACTGTGCATTCTGGGAAAGTGGTCTCTTATGTTTGGACCCCACAGTGTATGTGTCCAAGTCTGGACCAATTGGCCACCAAACATGGGAAGCACTCCAATCTCTTTATTTCTGCATACTATTGGCTACTACTATAGATGTGGCTGTTTTTTGATAAAATACAGAAGTTTGCATGTTCTAACAATGTATGTGCATGTAGAAAACTTAGTACTTTTAGATACTATGTGTTATTTTGTTGTTTTTAATATTTTGTATAAACTGTGGGGTTCGCTGAAAAGACATATTTCTATAAACTACAGTATTGACCATTGTTGAGAGTTTCCCCTCGTGCAGCAGAGCTGGAACATTCCTTTATTTGGGTCTTGGGATTCAGTGAAATGTTTGTTTGCCTGATTTTATGTTTCTTTGCCAGACTTTGAATTCTACAGTTGTTTCTACATTAAACATTTTGTATGAAGCAAAGTTCCTTGAAATAAAAAATAATTAAAATGATGCTGTCTCTTACTAGCTAAAATAATCTACTACCCATAATCCATTATGATATGGTGGAAATATTTTGTGCATTTATCTCAAGTTTTTGTGATAAATCCTCTCAAGCTCTGTCAGACTCAGTGAGTGACTGTGAGCTGCATCTTCAGGTCTCTACCCAGATGTTCTGTTTATAAAAATAAAGATACGTATACTGTATTTAAAGCACATTAAACCTACATGAAAAACCAACGTTAATAAATTCAATAGGCTTATTTTGCATCTGAAGTGTTAATGAGAGCACATGTTGTTTAATGACATAAAAGCAGAAATATATTTAAAAGATTTAAAAACTTGAAATGTTAGATAATCAATTTTAGTAACTAACAAGCTGATATCACCTTGTCTGTTTGCATCTAAAACAACCAATAGTCCCAAAAACTGTGGTATGACCGGGGACATGTACAGACATTTTGGGGGGCAGGGCCTTAAGTGAGAAAAAGGGCACTTCTCATAATTATTTATTTAAAAAAATGTTTTAAAATAAAAAGTTGAATATAGTAGATTACCTCTGACAATTAAATTTACTATCATCACACTCACCTAATTGTCAAAAGACAACAACAAAGGAAACATCGATGCATCTTGATGTATCACATCCACAATTTCCTACATTACTGCACATCTGTCACTGTTATTAAAAGTGTGCTGTCATTTACAAAATATGGTTTTCAATTCATAAATCAGACTACATCAGTTGTTTATGACAGTGCTCTCCGCACTGATTTGACATTCATTCAGTTTAGACTTGTGTGCTGCACCTAAGGCTTAAAAGGACAAACTCTGATTACAGCCTTTATCTGTATCAAGGTGGCCCCACCTGCACACTCTCGTTGGATGGGGAGACATCGTGCATACCATCTCTTTAACCTACTTTTCAGGTAGCAGTGTAGGCACTAGCCAATCAAATCTCGTGTATGCAAATGCAGGTCTAGTGTGACGTCAAAATTCAGAGCAGAGTAGAGACTGAATGTTGTGTTGTAGAATCAGTCTGTTGGCTATCATCAAACATTGAAACATTGAGGCAGCTGCTGAACCCAGCTAACTTCACCGCAAAGTTGTCCATGAAAGACAATGCTCGGATTGGTTTTATTTGAAGTCGGCCATGTTGTGTCCTGGGCAGGCTGAAAACCTTCCTTTATGATAAAGCTTATATAGAGCTGGCTCAGGTCTGCCTTGGACCAGCTCTTAGTTATGCTGCTCAAGATTGTAGGAGATACATAATACATGGAGCTTCCCTATCCTTCTCTCTCTCTTCATCACTTTCACACTTTCACACTTTCATTTCTCATCAGCATGTAGGTCCATTAAGGTACATCCATCCATTGGATGTTAGTAACACTTTATTTTAAAGGTACAGCGTTAGTGATATCTAGTGTTGAAATTGCATGTTACAGCTGAACACCCCTCACCTCACCCTCTCCTTCCAAACATGAAAAAGAACCTGTAGAAGCCTTCAGTTGTCATAAAACCTCAAAAATTGTTTAGTTTGTCCAGTCTGGACTAATGTAAAAAACATGGCAGCCTCCGTAGAGAGGGTCCCCTCCATGTAAATATAAAGTATTTAAATATAAAGAGCCTTTTCTGGGGTAAAGAAAACTACAAGTCACACAATTTTGATGAAACACACTAGTGAAAACATCATGAGGATTATTTTATAATCACTTTGTGCCAATTGATTCTTTTCTCCTAAATCTTACACACTTAACCTTTAAGGGCTGTGACTCACATGACATCATAAACATGGAATGATCGTAATGACTGCTTGTGACTTATGTCATTAAGTGTCAATCAGTCATATTATCCTGACAGCATGTTGAGCAGCAGCTGGTAAAAGCTTTGCGTTCCTATCAAACATCTGGTGGACCTGATGATAGAGGGCCCCACTGCTCCTCTAGGATTCTGCCTGGACCTAAACAATATCAAGAAGGTCTGCGAAGCTGTGATTAAAGACCTGAAGATACAGTACCAGCATGAAAGGTGCCTTACTCAGTCTTCAACACACAGCACAGCTCAAAATGGAATGATACATCATGTGTATTTTGAAGCTGACCACACACCTACTTTAATGCCTAATTTCGACTCTAATTTTACTCTGAATAGTTTCCTAAATAAATACCAGTGAATTCTGATAAGGAGAAATACAGTGAGTGTATATGAGGACCCTGACCTGGGTCCTGTGTTTGTGCCACTCAATTCAATTAAGTCCAAAAGTTTGAATACTGTTTTTCAACACTGACTCTTTTAGCTTGGTCCATGTCCCATGTGTTAACACGGAGAGGGCAGGGTTTGTGACTTATGTTGCAACCAGGATCAATCAATATGTTTTGGCTTCACTTTTTCGGTGCTGTCGTGTTGTCTATATATATATATATATATATTTATAGAGAGTTATTGATGTGCGAACATTTGCTTCTCTATTGTTGGAGGCTTAACATTGTAAAAAATATTCTTTTAAAAAATGTCTCAGGTGAGTTTGAACAGAAAAAAAGTTAAATTAAAGCGATAGAGATTATACTGGGAAATGTTTTTTATATTTATATTTACGAATGTAAACATGTGTATGTAGTATTATTTCTAATTGTCTTTCTTGCATGTGTCGAAAGCACATTCGCTATAGGAGCGGGAGGCTTTTGTTTTGAAGCCTGACCGGAGGTGGCCCTGTGCAGTCTTGCTCGCTTGACGCGGGTGAATAAAGGTGTCGGTCAGTGGATCACCTCGCAGATGGAAGGGGACTGCGGGGCTGTCGATAATCAATAATCACCGGAGTTTACCGGAGGATAGATAACGAGCTCATTTTAATGTTGGTGGCAGTTGTGTTATTGTTGTTCTATCGGCAAAAATATGTCTTCAAAACACCAAGTGCACTTTTTGTTGCTTTATTTTGACATGCTACTCGGATTTGCTGTGGATGGGATGTCTGTTCATGGAGAAACATGGAGTTTTCAGTTTTCAGGTAAGATACAGACACTTTCAAGTATTTGTACATAATCAAATCCACCGAAGAGTACAAGTTAATTATCACAGACATCATTCGTTGATTGGCTAATTGATTTTTTTTAAAATTGCAATCCGAATAATGTCCATTGTGTGTTGTAGCTCCATCAATGTATCGATCCTTTCAGAGCTGCTGCTGGGTTTTTATTAAGAAGGTGAACTTGCAGATGCAGGATGTGGAACTGCAGTACCTGGCTGCTCCGCGTAGAGCCGCTGTTGCCCTGAAACATCTGCTCATTTGATGAGTGCAGTGGTTGAACTTTGAAATCTTTATATACAGTCTATGGGTTGAACGAACCTCTGTGACTTAGTGCATCTGCTGCTTCCTGCATGTGCACGTGTGGTAGTTCCCTTTGTCCCCTGTCACCACCTCGTTCCCTCAATGACACAAAGCACACGTCTGTGTTTATATGCTAAGGAAAGATATTCCCTACAGACAGATATCAATTGTTTGGACCATTTGGCCTCCATCACATGTTGGTGGTGGTAAGAAAATACAGAAATGCACATTTCGGTGTTGTCAGAAACAGATTTTCACAAAGCTGACCATTGAAAATAGACTGGTTCATAACTATTGTTCCATGTTGATGTATTAGATCTAAAGATTTTTTTATAGAGGGGTTCGCTCATAGATCATTCACGGCCTGATTTATGGAGCTCTGGTGTGATTAAACCAGACGTTGAAAAATCCCCTCTGTCAAAACCTTCGGCTCTAATATTTCAAAAACATGAAACAAGAATTTGAACATGACTTCATCCAGTGTTCATCTTTCTGTTCTGCAAACGTATGTATTTAAGCACATATTTCATTAGATAGTGCCTCATTTGCATATTAAATATTTGAGAAATTTCAAATATTAAAGAAAAAATCTGTTTCAATGTGAGTCATCAAGAGGGGGAGTCTCATGGTTGGCTAAAATGTATAATTTCCTCTTCACCATGTCTCACCATTATGCTTAGCTGTTTATTAAAGATAAACATTGACTTTCTTTATTAACCCGTTGCCATGGGTATGCAGTATCAGGGCACCATTAATGATCGCTTTTTTAACATGTGTGACTTTAATGTTTCCCATCCCTGTGTGATTGTGCTCAGAGTTCAGGGTGAGGTTCAGAGATTGTGTGAACCTGCTATCTGGAACAGGCCCCAGAGTGGTTTAATATTTGTATGTAATTAAGTAATGATGATTAGGTCAGGTCAGCAGTGCACCTCACCACCAGTTGGTCCACGGTCACCTCCCAGGAAACAAATCCTCCATGAATCATCCCTTCCCTCTCAGTAACAATATATTGGGATTTGCAGGTTTAACATGATGCTGAGCCCAGGCCAGCAGTCACTGCTTCACAGTGACTTAAAGGTCCAGTGTGTAAGATTTAGGTGAAAGGGATCTATTGGCAGAAATCTAATGTAGAATAATCCTCATGTTTTCACTAGTTTGTTTCATCTAAATTGTATGAATTGTAGTTTTCTTTACAGAAAAGGTCCTTCATATTTAAATACTTTATATTCACATGGAGGGGACCCTCTCTACGGAGGCCACCATGTTTTTTACATTAGTCCAGACTGGACAAACTAAACACCTTTTGAGTTTTTATGACAACTGAAGCTACCACAGGTTCTTTTTCATGTTTGGAAGGAGAGGGTGAGGTGAGGGGTGTTCAGCTGCAACATGCAACTTCAACACTAGATATCACTAAATTCTACACACTGTACCTTTAAGGTAGAGGTTTGCAGGAGGCTGCCAGGACACTTGTGCTATTAAAGAATGAATAAAGGGATCTCTCCTGAGGGAATTTCTTTTGATGTGAAGCATGCAGACAGAGCAGGGATTTCAGCTCTGTTGTATCTGATGTAACGTTTGAACAGTGCACCGGGCAGAAAGCTGATGTGTGGACTCTGTGTTCTCTTCTCATGTCACATCTTCCGACCAGCTCACTGACATCCCATGATGAGCTGATGGCCACTAATTAATGTCACTCACCTTTGATAGCTGAGGCATGAGTGGAGGGAGCAGCTCCATGTTTGAAGCTGATTGTGTGTTCACTTCCATTTGGCTGGCGCCCCACACCAGAAAGTGTTTAGACAGAACTTAAGCAAATACAATTTGAAAACAACTTACATTACATTACATACATTGTACAAGTAAACTAGTTATTATCCAGTTAAATTATGTTTAACATTTTTATACAGACTTTTTTTGTCTCAGGATGTTGGAGGCGGCCATGCTGGATGTTGCTCCTGTGGAGGTTTCAATTCACTTCTGAGCACAACATAAGGTTGAGACCATTTGAGATAGGTATGAAACCAATTGGGACCATGGATATCCACATCTCGTGGAATTGCCAAGGATACCTAATGACCAACCCACATGTCCAGTTTAAGGTGGGCAAAAACATTAGAAATGATTTCTTTTTAATTACGAAAGAAGGAGGCTCTTATAGCTTGAAATTCCCCTGGGTAATTCTTTGCTGAGGTGAAAGGTATATCAGTTTACTTTACAAACACAGGGGGTCAATGAGAGAGTGTGACTGTTTTACCGTGTGAAGAAAAAATCTCCTGTCTCCTTACATAGAAAAGCAGTCTACAGCCAGGCTAGCAGCTGTGCAAGGCAGTTATTCTCTGAGCTTCAGGATTTGCTAATTAGCACAGATTTTTCTAAATACTAAAATCAAAGCCTAATTGGAGTTTAATGTCTTCAATCAATCTCCAAAGGTCTCATGCTAAGAGATGGGTGATTAAGATTGATAATCTGGAGTAACTTCAGTGGATCTCTGGAGTCCATTGCATGTCTGAAAGTAGTTTAAGAGATCTGAGCCTCCCAGATATTAGCTTGATCTACAAACATCGATGATCTTAAGAAAACATTTCAGTCACTATACAAAGTCTATAATCAAGTTCAGCAGCTTTATGTTAGTATAAGTTCAAACATGAACAATTTGTATTTAGTGATGTGCTTGGTAACAGTTAACCCGAGCTGCAGGAGGGCTACTTGCTGTTCCATATCGCTGTGGCCTTGATCTTTGTAACCGATGGCTCATGTGATGCTCCACAGAATTTCTTTTGGAGTGATGCTTGTTACTGCTCGTTGTGTTGCTGGTAAATCAATGCTTAGCGTGTCGGTTTTGTTGTATACCAGAGGTTTTGTGTAACTGCAAAGGGCCACGTTTGATGCTGTCGAGGTGTAACATTGGGTCAACCCCCGAATGTCTCAATATTATTCTTCTGAGAGGGAAAATATTTTAGATCAGTTTCACTGAATTCTGAGAATGTGGAGAATCTGACTGTGAGCGCTCTTGCACATGTGTCATTAGAGTAGGAATCATTCACGTGAATGAATGCCATTGTGATGTGTAGATAAACACTGTGCCAAGTGTTGCTATGGTTACATCTGCTGCGTGTATTTGGGGGAAAAACTTGCATTAATGTATTCATTTGAAATCTCTTGATTATAAACTATCACATTTGTAAAATTGGAAGATGGAAGTTTGCTGAACAGCAAGCAGGAGTGATGTGTTCTCTGAGCTTTCTTTGGAGCTACAATGACAGGCGGGCAGAAATCAGCAGAGCTGTCGCTCTCCGTGCTTCCTCCTTCACTGGAGATGAAAACATTACATCTGTGGCACGATTAAGTGACTGTAACGTCCCATGAGTTGGTAAATTAACGAAGAGTGATAAAACATTATAGTACATTATGTTTAATTATATCCTCATGGTTTAATGGCATATTCACCCTTCTGTGGTCCAGGAGGTCCATCAGGTTGTCCACTAATCAGAAGGTCGGTGGTTTGAACTGGTCTGACGTCCTCCCGCTGACCAGGTGCAGTTTCATTATGAAGTAATTTTCTCATTTATGTGTTGCAACTGATACAGTATTAACATGGACCACTGCATGTTGATTTTCCATTTTTTCTCAATATCAAACAAAATGTGTTTGAAATGAGTAAAATCTGTCAATAATAGAGCTGCATGCTGCACATTTATTCACTCAGCCCCTCCTGCCCTCCATCCCCCTGCCTCTCTGTCTGCCTCATACAGCTACAGATATACACACACACACACACACACACACACACACACACACACACCTCTATGTATCTTTATGAAAATATAAATAGTCTCTATATTACTCGCACACAAATCTAATAGACTCATACAAACCAATATAACCACAATATCCTTTGTTTGATTCCAGCAGGAGAACTTTGCTGAATGTTGGACACCTCTTACTGCAACACCGTCCCCGTGTAGATAAGACAAACTTAAACACGGTTGAGTGACACTGGGGACAGAAAGGTTTCCCATCACATCTCCCATCACCAACAGTTTTGCAGTCACATGCTCTGCAGTCTTGCTGTCTGAGAGCTCCAGACTCACTGTAGCCATGAAACTGTCAGTGTCTGGATGAGCTCCTGGGACATAGTTAAGTCCAAATTTACCTCTTGTCTTCTCTCAACACATGGAGTCAAGATGCCAGTTTCCCCGCTCCCACCTGCACACGTCAAGTGGTGCTTTGTAAAAAGGCGCCTCTCCATCTGTGTCTCCGTCCTCTCTGATAGTACACTAACTGACTCCTCGAATATTTTCATCACCTTTGAACCAACCTCAACTTTGATTTCATTTGTTTTACATTGCATTTGCTGTTTGAAGAAAGAAATTTCAAGTCAGATATTCTTTCAGTACCAGAGAGTGGATTATGATTAGGCTGCAGCTTTCCTCTGATCACATTAAAACATTTTAGTTTAGTAGCCATCAAGAAACTGTTTGTTCACTGGGATTTTGGTCATAAAATGAAACAAAGAAAAGACATCACAGTAAAAAGATAATGGTATAAAATTGTAAATGCATGCCTCTTCACTAAGCTTCAACCATATAGAATCTACAGGCGGCTGCGTATGTTGCAGAGCTGTTATTACGTAGTCATGAGTGACTGGTGTCTCAAAGGTGGAGGAAGGATGAGCTGGATAATCGCACTGAGTGATGACACCACTGTAAAGACAGACATGTCTTTTACTGCACAAAAAGACATTCATAGTCATGACATTGCATTTAATGTGTCACTTTAACTGATGAGAAGAGTTTTCGGTGAGTTTCCTGAATCTGAAAGTCCTCTTGCTGTAAATCCAAATTACTATGATGTGATTACATATAAGAAGTCACAGTGTCGGTGGTTCGATCCCTCGCTCCTCCATGTTGAAGTATCTTTAAGCAAGACACTGAACCCCTGAGCCGGCAGTGTGTTCTATCTGTATATAGAGATGCTGTGAAGATTTGGAGACAACAGGTCCATCAGAATGTGATTTTAAGGCTACACACCGTGGATACAGTTACATATTGTTAGTGCTGCTGACTTGCTCACTGGAGTTTCTTAGTGACTGTGTTTCCTTTATCCATGGCTCCTACCGTACTGCTGAGCTCCAGCTCATTCTTTTAGAAATGAATGAAGGCTGTTAAGAGCTGCCATTCCTCGGCAGTGGAATCCAACCATGAAATGAATGAACGTAACGAAGGTTCAGGGGTAAAGTCAGACATTAGCGGATTTTAATGAAATGCTGAGGCTGCTGAATGTGGCTTTTCTTGTAGCTCTTACAACATGGATTGTATGTATCCAGGCATTTAGCAGTATATCTATAATACTTTCCCAGACACTAATTCATCATTGAATCTGTCTGTGGAGGTGAGGGGGCTGGGGGAGCACCTTTCACCTGCAGCAGAGGATGCATCAGCGCAGGTGAGAGCTGATTGATCCTCAGGTTTATAAGGCAACAGAGAGACACTCAGGACTGAGTCACATGAGAGAAGGTCACAGAGACAGAGCTGCGAACTAGAAGTCCAGCAGAAAGTGCCGGCAACTTTAGGTTGTATGTTGTGAGTTTAGTTGAGTGATCAATAAAGATGCTGCAAAGCAACACACTTGTCTCTGGCTGTGTGTGTGAGAGCCCCGTGGCATTGTCAGTTGCCACACTGGCGCCCAACGTGGGGTAACGTACCCGGTATACTACGTGTTCTGGTTAAGTCGACTACCACTGCTAGGCAACAGCAACATGGAAGCCGAATGAGCCCTCTGGTCGTTTTTTTTGGCTAATAATTTAGCAAGCTATTGGAAATATCAGGATTTTCCTCAAAACGACAGTCAGGTACGCAACAGTTGCTCTGCTCTCCTTAAGCGTTCCACGGAACCTTGAGTATGTGACAGTGAGCCAGCATTAACAATACCATGACTCAGTAGCTAAATGGAGCTCATTCACCATTCACACATGTGCATTTCCTACTGTCACATATTAAATTATCTTCTGGGAAAAAAAAAGGGCTTTTGGCCACTTTTGACTGAAATACTGGACTCAACTTAATTCACTGGTTACTACTTCACAGTATTTCTTTGGTTTCTCAACAGAGAAAGTGGATTTGTTGCAGCATTTCTCTCAGATGGTGAACAGCGCCACCAATGTGTCCTTATCAATGGACAGTCAGAGGTGCCCCACTCTCCACATTGGCCTTTATGGCAATCTGATGATGGCAACACAACAGGCGTTTGGACCCAGGTACACAAAAGTGCTGACAAGTGTCTGTGCAAGACAGTGGAGAATGAGAATGGAACATTTAAAGGAAAAATGTTGAAACATCTTGAAAAGTGCATACTTTGTTTTTTTGTTTTAGAAAGAGATGAGAAGATGGACAGCTGGGGTCAGGATAGAGTTAGCTTTTCATCTATCACCAGAAAATTGATTAGTAATTATTTGTGAAAATCAAGTAATTTGTCAAACAAATATACCCCAAAATGTATGGTTTCAACTTGTCAAATATAGAATTTGATTTAATGTGTGTTTCATATTACTCTCTAACTTGAATATCTTTGGGTTTTGGACAACGTGTTAACATGTATTTCTCTGAACTTTGGATGAAGCCAGGCTACTTTTAGTCTTAATGCCAAGAAAGAGAATAATCATTAAACATTTTAACCTATTCCTTTATTACACTTATTCACAGAGGTCCCATAGATATTGTTCAATGCACTGGATCTATATATGGATGAGATGTGTGTCAGTGTGCATGCGTTTTTCTGAATGCATGTCTCCTGCAGGTTTTCTGATGAGTTCAGCTTGCTGATGGAGCTGCGCAGCTCTCAGATGGAGAAGAGCAGTGTGGTGACTCTGTTAAACTCCCAGCATCATGTCCACCTGCAGCTCCGCCTCGGCCCCTCTTCACTCACCTTCATCTCCACCCAGCGCAGAGAATACGAGTATGCATGACCCCTGGAAAAATATCCCCATGCTGTACTATGATTAACCATAGCATGTAATGCGCCCTCTGCACTAGAACATAAATAGGAAGCCAAATAGCAACCTGTAGATGCAGGATCTTAGTGAGACGTGTCCCATGTTCCCAGATCTCAGCAGTCCCGAGTGTCTCCCCTTTCTTACTAAACCTGTCCTGCTTCAATCAAATGAAGGTTCACGGTGGGCTCTCTGTGGGATGGTCAGTGGCACCGGGTGGCACTTAGTGTCTCCCCGCTTTGGCTGGAGGTGTATGTGGACTGTTCTTTGGTGGAGAGGGTGAACTGGGCCTATCCTTGGCAGCGCATCTCCACCAATGGCGTTCTGATGATCGGAGGCAGTCTGGACAGCTCAGAGACACCGTTTGAAGTAAGAAAATGTGTCTTAATATTACACCTGTACCCGCCCATGTATTTTTAGTGTTTGCTTGGTACTAATGGAAGGCTGAATTGATTTCACCACTTGGTGGCAGTAGAGGAATCTTGATTGTATTATCTGTTTTCCTCTCTAAAGTTCTAATCATTACTTAAGGTTCATTGTTAAGGGAAATGGTCAGATAGGATGCTCTCTGTGATTAATGTGTAGGAAGAACACATAATGCAAACACATGCCCATTGCTCAGACAGTGATATTTAAACTATTCATTTTCAGTTGAAGTGGGTAGAGAATCACAGTACACAAATACAACAGTGCAGAAATAATACAACAACCTTTAATTAAATGTTATTTTACTAAAGTACAAAGGTATACTGTAGGTTATAAAGAAATGTGTTGGAGGCAGTGGTGGGATGTAACAATGTACTTTATACTTCTAACTGAACTTAAGTACATTATTCATGAATCTGTAATTTAATCTATTTTTGTGCCATTTTCACTTTTACTCTACTACATATATCTGCACATGTCGATGCTTTCTACTGCACCACATTTTTGCAATGCATTGCTTTTTGTTCACATTGTTTATTTCTTTATATTTCTAAGAGTAATCAGTACTGAGATTGGTCCACTGCTTCAATCAGAAGTGACCATCTTCCCCCTCTGACTGCCTCTTAGAAATCAAATTCTGGTTCACTCAAAATTTCCTCAAACTTAACTGGAATAAAACTGAACTTCTCCTTGTTGGCACCAAGTCCACTCTGGCCAAATGTAACAGTTTTTTATTTACAGTTGATGACTCCACAGTTTCTCCATCTCACCAAGTCACGAGTCTGGGTGTCGTCCTTGACAGCACGCTATCCTTCAAATCTCACAACAATAACATCACATATTTCCACCTAAACAATATCAACCGACTCCGCCTGTCTCTCTCCTCAAATGCCGTATCCACTATTGCAACACTCACCTCTCGGGCCTCCCACTCAAACTCCTCCATAAACTTCGACTGGTCCAAAATGCAGCTGCCCCAGATCATCACCAGAACCCCATCCATCAAGTGAGGAGTAGAATCTTGGAGTCTATGCGGTATTTATATGGAGGCACATCACCTCTGTCCTCTGAGGACAGAGATTCTACTCCTCACTTTCAAGGCTCTCCACAACATGGCAACTCCTTACCTCTCTAAACTCCTCCACAACCACACACCCACCCGTACTCTTCGCTCTTGCTCCTCCATGCTCCTCACCACACCTCCTGCCGGGCTGTCTTCCATGGGGTCAAGAGCCTTCAGACATGCAACCCCCCCATCTATGGAACTCTTTCCCACAAGCCATCAGTAAAACTGACTCTCTCCCCACCTTCAAAACTCACCTCTTCCGATTGGTGTACTCAGTATAATTTTTGTGTTCTTTTATCAGTCTGTTGTTCATGTTTGGGCTGTTTTTATTGTTGTGTATCTGTTTTTATTATTTGTACATGTAAGGTGTCCTTGAGTGTCATGACAGCCGCCCACAAATGAAATTATAATAAAAATATTATTATTATTAGACCGTTTCATTTGGGAATTGACCACACTCTGCAAGTACTTTTAAAGGTTCAGTGTGTAATATTTAGATGAATGGGATCAGTTTGCAGAAATTGAATAGAAAATAATCCTAGTGATGTTTTTGCTAGTGTGCTTCGTGTGAATTGTTGTTTTCTAGAATGGGCCCTATAATTAAGTACTTTATATTTACATCGAGAGTGGGTCCTCTCTACGGAGGCCGTCATGTTTTTTTTACAGTAGCCCAGACTGGACAAACTAAACTTTTTGAGTTTTTATGACAATTGAAGGCTACCACAGGTTCTCTTTCATGTTCGGAAGGGGAGGGTGAGGGGTATTCAGCTGCAACATGTAACATGTGGGGTGGGGGGTTAAAGGTGGGATTTCCTGGGCCTGAGGTTTACATATGGTTAATCTATGACCCTTACTTCCCACTGGTGTCCTCAGGGTGCTGTGAGACAGATGACTTTTGTGATAGGGGATCCAGACACTGCCAGAGACCAGTGTACTCTCAATCAGCCTCCGTGCAACCCACCATCCTCCAGGGCTCTCCAGGTAAACACTGCCATGGCTGGAACTCACTGTCCTTAATGTTTTGTACATTTGTGTGTGTGTGTGGGTGTGTGTGTGGGGGGTCTGTGGGTGTTGGGCATCGATGGGAGCATTGCACCAGTTTTAGAGTTGTTTTGGCTCTGACGAAACTTTGTCAAGAAGACTTGACCCTTAAGACCTGGATAAACAGTTTCCAACCTTTCTGACCTTCTGATGGCTTCTTCATCGCTACCTGACATTATTTTATTTATATTTATGTTATTTCATCTGAAATAAGGAAACATGTATTCTGTTAACAACACTGAACTGATCCCACCCCCCACCCCAGTCCAGGGTCACATTTACAAAAATAGTAATAACAAAGAATATGATAATAGAAATAAAAATAAAAATATAGATAAAATTAAGTATGCAGAAATATTAAGAAATATATAAACAAAAGATAATGTCACAAACAAAAGATAATGTCACTACCAATGATTGACAAGCTCTACATCCAGAGTAATGCACTCCCAGCCAATGCCTCATAATAGGAGCAGATGAAATTATATTTAATTCATTCATAGGACAAGAAAGATCTTTATTATATCTAATAAACCGAGACCATATTGTTTAGAATTTCTGTTTCGAACCACTCACAGTAAATTCAAATTTGTCCCATTTCAGCATTGATTGCACCTCTTGGATCCCCTGAATAAAGAAAGGGGGCCTTCTCACTTTCCAATTGCTCAGAATGAGTCACTGGACCAGCAGGGAGGCAAATCCAATTGCGTTCCTTAAATGACCTGAAAGACCCTCTTCCAGCTGAAGTGCCGCAAAGAGGGCAGTAAGAGAAGCGTCTGAATGGTTCTAGCCCAGTCGGAGAACAGGAGGGAGACAAGTTATAAGACTGTTCCCCAGTGGGAAGGGACAGCATTTAATGCATGTGCAGACGCTGAGGATGTGGTGTCTCTGATGTACACCCCTTCAGGGAGGATTGTGGTCTGGCCTCTGTTCATTCATTACCTCTTCTTCTAGCTGCATCCTCAGTGCTGCTACTGTCCACCCTCACACAATATTTGCCAACTTTCCACACTTGACAGAGGGTGTACTTTTCGGTGTGGTGCAAGCCTAAAGGTTAGTGGTTGAGGTTGCTGTGTGGGTTGGGAAAATCAAAAAGAAAGTGGATGATTCACTACATTTTGTACTACCTTTTAAAACTGGTGGTTTCTTCTGAAGGACAAATAATAACATCAATAAAGTGAAAACAGCGGCTCCAGCATTCTGGTGTTAAAGTGAATATATATTAACTAATTCTCACCAAATGCAGGTCAATCAAAACCAATTTTAGTTCTCTTTTTATCCTTTTTCGTACTTTTCGTCTTTATTTATAGTCATGTCATTATCCCTATAATGCCTTTGATGATATTACAGCAATGTGTGCAATGTCAGTGAGCTTCTTATATGAAGTATTGTGGTAATTATGGTGCTCATCTGATGTGTCAGTGTCCTTTCCCCTGAGAAAACCTCTCAGCCCCTTATTGGTGGTAAAACAAAAACCACATGTCCCAAATATTGGACCAGTGTTGAAAGGGTTATCCTCTCTGTCATGGTTAGACTGTATATTTGTATGTCTGCT